GGGGGGGGGGGGGAGGAAGCGGGCAGGGGAACCTGATACACTACATCGTAAGAAATATCCTTCTTCCACTTTCTTCTCCATCTCACTGCGATGCCAGCCAGCCGGGGGCTAAGGGCATGGCCCGACCTCCCCCAGTCAGTCCGGACATGGTGTGGGGCCAAGGGAAGTGGCTGTGGGATATTTCAGGGAGGGACAGTCACCCCCCTGGTCCCCAAATGCTATAAGGCACAATTCTTAGAGGCAACTAGATTCCATCCAAAACATTAAAAAAAGAAAGAAAACAACAAAAACCCTAAAAACCAAAACTCGTTAGATCCAGGCCTCCGGTGCCGTGCGCGGGCCTGGACGCCTACCTAGCGAGCTTAGAAAACGTGTATCTGAAGAGAGAGAAAACCGCCGGCCGCCCCTGTGGGCAGAGGGGAGCAGAGGGCGTCTCCAGTCTGAACACTTGAGTGAGGGCCGTCACAAAAAATTGGGCTTTTAAAAGCCAACAACAGCTTTTTTTCCAAGATGTGCCCTGGTCTGTCCGGGACCTGGCGCTGAGCGGGCTCCTGGCTCCTGGGTGTCTCTTGCTTCTGGACCGGTCGTGCGCAGAGTCCCGGTGGATGCCCGGCTCCGGGGGTGCCGTCCTCTCGGGAGGAGCAGGCAGCAGAGGGTCCTCTCCCACGCGCCACTGCTGTTGATTTCACTCGGAAAAACCAAAGGCTTAAAGATGCAAACGGGAGAAGCCGAGGGGTCCTGCTGGTCTTCGCTGTGGGCGTGGGCTCCAGCCCCGCCCAGGCCGCAGCCACTCCTGCTCCGCAGCTTTATTTACTTTATTTTTCTCTTATTTGTCAGGTTTGCTTGTTTGTTTTTTTAAAAAAACACGTCGGGCGCAGGGCCACGGCAGGGAGAGGGGTAGCTCTGCGCTACATGCGGGAGGGCGGGCTGGCCAGCTCGTAGAAGAGCAGGTAGGCGTCGCTGGTGCGCACTTGGCTGGAGGACATGGGGGTGACGCTGCGGAGAGAGGGGGGTCAGCGCCCTGGCGGGGGAGGGGGTGCTGAGGGGCTGCGGGCGGCCCTGCTCTCTGGGACCCACCCAGTGCCACCCTCATCTGCATCTTCTAGGCCTCAAATGGCAGCAGATGTGCCACTTGGCTTCCTGGCTCGGACTTTGTTTTTTGTTTAATTTTTAAAAATATACATATTTTTACTGATTTCAGAGAGGAAGGGAGAGGGAGAGAGAGAAAATTCAATAATGAGAGAGAATCATCAATCGGCTGCCTCCTGCATGCCCCACACTGGGGATTGAGCCCGGGACCCTTCAGTCCATGGGCTGACGCTCTACCCACTGAGCCACACCAGCTAGGGCTCTGGCTCTGACTTTTCTGTCAGTCTAGGTGGAAGCCACGCAGATGGGCAAGGGACGGGTCTGACAGCCGGGGAGCCCGTCTGGGGCGCAGGTCTGTCTCACCTGGAGTCATTGAACGTGTGCCATTCGCCGGTGGCCGGGCTCCGGCAGTACGCGGTGTAGTGGCCGCCCATGGTGGTTCCGGAGTGATTGGACACAGCGTACAGGTTGTAAACAGCGTGGTCTGGGGAAGAAGCACAGGTCTGCGAGCCCCCAGGCACTCCCTCTCCCTCCTGCCTTGGTTCCCAGTTTCTAAACTCCCTCTCCAGCAGCTTCCCCTCCTCCTGACTTCCCATCTGCATAGTAGGTACCTCTGCCCTGTCCCTCCCTCCCTGTGACAAATACTGCCCGGCCCGTGTGGCTCAGGGGTTGAGCATCGACCTATGAACCAGGAGGTCACCGTTGGATTCCTGGGCAGGGCACATGCCCGGGTTGCAGGCTTGATCCCCTGTAGGGCCATGCAGGAGGCAGCTGTTAAATGATTCTCTCTCACTATTGATGTTTCTATCTCTCTCTCTCCCTCTCCCTCCCTCTCTGAAAGCAATAAAAATAAATACTTAATTAAAAAACCACTCACTGGTGTTTTCTGAAGCAAATTCTCTCAAGTCCAGGTCTCTCAGCGGGAAGTTCACAAATGTTGTGAGCTTGCTGGTCCGCACCCTGGATTCGGAGAACCGTTTCAGATCTGGGAGGAAGCGCATCAAGGACAGACAGGGTGCAAGCAGCGTCAAAATAACAGGGCCGGTCCCCTGACGGCGGGCACCCCTCCAGGGACAGAGGAGCAAACATGAAAAGAAAGGCCCGGAGACCGCCCTGCCCGCTGTGGCCTGCCCGGGCCCTGGCCCTC